CAGTGTTATACAATAATATTTACCGATGGCGTTTACAGCACGATTTATTGCTCATAATCATATCTAGGTATTCACACAACACATGGATATGAAATACACAACAGTTGGTCTAAGCCACGTAGGAAGTTGTAGACTTCCAGGCTGGGGTCCTCGGGACGGTAAAAATCTATGGTTGGAAACAATTGGTGACATGGCTCAAACTCATCGTTTTCAGTGGCGCAGATGCATCCACTCCTTGTGACATATGATCTCCACCAATGAAACTGTTTTGTTTTTCTTTATTACTCCTTTGTCTCACACCTCTGCTCACTGTTTCTATTATGCTTTTCTTGTACTTTCTTCTCTTGCTTCATGTGCTACACGGAGTGTGGCGACTTGAACTTCCACACATTTGTGCAAAGTTCTATGTCGAAAACAGACAGACAGAGACAGAGACACAACCTTCTTGCTTCGTTATATATATATATATATATATATATATATATATATATATATATATATATATATATATATATATATATATATATGACTGGTTGAAACGCACAACTCTGCATAGATGCGCAGCAGTTTTTTATTTTATTTATTTATTTTCTTTTTTGATTTACAGCTTGATTCCACACTGTATTTTTGGTACAAGTATGGAATTTTCAGCGTGGATATCGGTAGCCCAAATTTTGCAGGCCGACCATAGATATCAGGTGTGCGCCGGCGTGGGCTCGAACCCTGGACCATGTGCATGGTCGGCGAGAGTCCTAACCACTGTGCCACCGACGCACAGTTCAAGTTGTCACACTCCCTACACGTCGCACACAAAGCAATAGAAGAGAGTACGGAGAGATTTTAAAAGTGTGAGAGATGACAAACAGAAATATGAGGAAGAAATAGAAACAGTAATATGGGAGGAAAATAAAAGCAAGAATTCGACTGACCCAAGGATAGTAGTGAAAATCCGAATTTTTTTTCTTTATGCTCTGGAAGTGATCAGAAGATTTCGAAACCCATTTTCACATTGGTGAAGGTCTATCTTACCTTTTTGATCTTGGCTTTGATATCCTCATACGTGCTGTTGCCTAGATAAGTTGAGGAATTAACTTCTTTCAATTTTATTTTTACCGTTGATAATGATTGGTGCTCGTTATTCTTGTTGGTGTTAGTTGGTAGGTTACCTTCATCTTATTTATGTTCACTTGGAGTCCTGTCTTCTCTGGTTGCTTCTTCTGTCAACTTGTTGATTTTCGACTGTAAGTCTTTGAATTTATGTGACATTCGAGATAAATCACCCAAGAAGTCCGTATATTTTAGCGTCTTCCTGTCCGCCCGACGTAATCCTGTCTTCCCACCCCAATGCATAGTTTGATGTAGGATCCAGTCCACCAAAATTATGAATATCATTATTGATAATAGGCTGACAGCCTTGCCTTACGCTTGTTTTCACTAAGAACGCCTCAGTGAGTTTTCCGTTGCGGCTCACTTGACATGTGACATTGTCATATGATCTTTGAATGGGGTTGATACAAATTTGGACACTACACCCTATACTGTTGAAGTAGTTTTCAAATTACTTCATGGTCATTATTGAAAACATTTATTTCCCGATACGACTTTTAAAACAAGCAATAAAGGCTAATAAAGTAAGATTTAATGAATTCATCAAATTTCGGTAGAAATCAAGGTTAAGCTTTGCTACTGCTACCCCGATTCGGGACGTAAATATTGACGTAAATTGGTGTCTACAGATTTTGGCTCGTCAGACAGCTATCACCACAGTATCATGTTATTATTAGACGGTTGCAGGCGTTCGTCAGGAAGCCTTACTTCACCTAGGTTTTGTGCTTAATGACACTCATCAATCAGGAAGATTTCTCTGCAGTCTTGAAATAATTTATGTCCCTTCTAAGATTTGCACCAGCTTCACTCATTGAGGAGTGGTGTAGTCAGAGGCGTTGCCGCTGAGCTATTCGTGCTGGCGATTAACTTCCTCAAATTTCGGTAGAACTCACCAGCTGAATTGAATACTCTACATACACGGATATATATACTTTTGAAATTAAATTGGGAGATATAAGACTGATAAGCAAATAAACTACATTGAATTAGTTATGCAGAAAGACGACAGATGAGAGTGTTTTCCAGATGAGGGGAGAGAGAGGGTATGAGAGATCGAAATTAAGATAAACTGCATTATGCTTCGATTACATCACTAAGATAAACAATTAGACATTAGAGAATATTTTTTTAATTTTTATTTTTCTAACTTAAAACCCTTGTGGAATTCTGTATATTATTTTGTTTCCATGTACATCCTTTGAGCACAACTCATTCATCAAACAATTCATGCCATTACGTAACTCTTATTTAACAATCATTTATGACAACTCATCACTTTTGTTACTATCCTCTTATCAACATCCAATTCATCTGAACTTACTAATTGTATTTTCGTTTGACAAATTTAATGTATACACACACACACAAAATAACCATATATATTTGCGATTGTACAGCTATGAAAATGAATTCGCCGAAAAGAGACTCTTCGCTGAACTACTTGTCTTCTGTCTACTAATGTTCGAATGGGAATTATTCATGAATTAGAGAATATAACAAGAATTGCAAACAGAGTAATATCACTAGCAATGGTTATAATAACAATAATAATAATAATAATAATGTTGAATTAAGTTAAGATAATCCCACTGATAAAGGATAGTTTTAAATGAATCAAGAATAACAATAATAATAATAATAGGTAGAATAATAATAAGTAAAACGTATTACCATGGTAGATTCAGAGTCACGACCATCTCCATTTGTATACAGAGACCCGGTTTATAAACTTGAATTGCACAAGCCTCTGCAATTGCAAGCATCTTCTTGTTTCTTTCTCCGCTGACTGGCAACAGTGAATGACTTGACCGCGTCGATATCATGTCCATGGTTCACAAGATGTTTTGTTACTGAGGTTTTCGGCACTTTGCACTCAACTGTTTTCAACCGCTTTGGCAAATGCTCCATCATATCCATCATCATCATATGCTCCATTATATTCCCTAGTGACTAATTGTTTATCTAAGTGATGTAATTGAAGCGTAATGCAATTTATCTTAATTTTGATCTCTCATACTCTCTCTCCCCTTATCTATTTGAACATGACCTGGAAAACATTCGCACGTGTCTTTCTGCATGACTAATTCAATGTAGTTTATTTGCTTATCAGACTTATATCTCCATATGTAATTTCAAAAGTACATATATCCGTGTATGTAGAATATTCAATTCAGCTGGCGAGTTCTACCGAAATTTGATGAATTCATTAAATCTTGCTTTATTAACCTTTATTGTTTGTTTTAAAATAGTCCTTATTGTTGAAGGCCTTTACAAAGTAGATGAAATTGAGGTGCATGTTTTATTGCCTGTTATAACTGAACCGAAATCAATAAACTCCGTCTTCACTTTATTATATCTGTGCCTGTTAATTACTGTAAAGGTAATTAACTCGATTGGCACGCTAATATGCCTATTTGTCTGTTGTGCCTTCCGATTCACTCAGTTACGAAAATATCAAATGACAAAGGCTGATGCTTGTGATTATAAGATACTGTATAGATTAAGGTGACAAAACATGCTATTTATTCATCTTATTTACCACAATACAGTCGACTCACAGCCGTGAGAATGGATTGTTCTTACTGGCTGGTAATCCGACAAAAACGAGGTGAGATAAAGATGACGAATTGATCACACACTAAATCACAACATGCGACAGAAATGATGCATTCACATAGTAACTCCATCACAAAATAAACCATATGATTCGTGAGAAAAAATGACATACTACTTTAGGCTGGTTCCTATCATTGCTATTTTATACTTTGTTCTATGATGATGCGTAGACTTTCTACTTGTTTCACACATAATTTGTTTTCCCTGATTCTATCCTGTTCCTCCGGTGTGGAGCATCTTTTATTCATTCCAGGATAACGCGAATTAGTATTTTACTCACCGTGAACAGTTCCCCTCAGTTCTATGGATACAGTAAGAGTGTAGTGGCCCAAGGCAAGAGAACTGGTGACTGATCTTTTTTTAATCACATCAAAAGTCGGCTAGACCAGCCGACAGTAACCTATTCTGATTGGTGGTGGTTGGTGACTGGCACAAAGTTAAACAATCAGATGAAGATTACAGGATTTCATCATAGCTGACATCAGTTAGAGAACCATTGAAAAACCTGGGAGTACTGGACAGCCGTTTCGTCCTAGTTTGGGACTCTTCAATAGTAAGCTCCCACCGGGGTTCTAGAGAGACGTCGTGACCAGTAGGCTGCAGCAGGTCGGGTGTGAGAACGAATACTCGCCACGGATGACATTGGCTAGTGGTCGCGCTATTTTGTGAAATCGCTGAAGTTAGAAATCATGGGCCATTGGATCGGGTCCCAGTGGCTTAATGGTCTACCAGCTAGCTCGCCTTGTAACCAGAAGGTCCTGTGTTCGAACCCATATGATGGGTGAGTACTGTTGAAGAGTCACAAGCACTAGGTTGACGAAACAGCTGTCTGGAAGTACTCCCTGAGGCTGGTTTTCCAATGGTTCTCTAATTAATGTCAGCTCATGATGAAATCCTGTAACCAATCAAATGCCTACAAACCAGCACTTGAAAATCAGATGAAGAGTTGTCCAATGAAATTATTTCCTGACCACAACTCAAACTAAATCCAGATTTAGGGAATAAAAACACTTTCACCTCAGCTTGCAACCAGTGACTTATAATGTTGATTTCATTTCTTTTGGCCACTTTCTCTATCCATATGCCTCCAAATAGCCTAGGCCACAATCAACAGTAATAGGTACTGAGTCAGAGAGAATTTTCTCTAGAAAATGAACGTCCTTTTAATGCATAATGATAGTTGTATAGACTGGGTGATGTCACTGTGGAGTTTTCTCTTTTTTGAAGAATTTGTTTATTCTTAGACATTCTCTTAATTCACTTTTCTCTACCTTTAGGTACCATCAACCTGGGAACGTTATGCCTATCCTAGTCTCTATCCACTTGGATTATGGTTTGCTGATTTGTCAAATCGATGTAAAGAATTAGATATATGGGCACAAGATTTAGGCCTGCCAGGCTCTGTATGGCTTGGTGGTTTGTTTAATCCACAATCATTTTTAACGGCTGTTATGCAACAGACAGCAAGAAAAATGGAATGGCCATTGGACAAAATTTGTATCAGTGTTGAAGTTACAAAAAAGACAAAAGAAGAAATGGGTTCGGCACCAAGAGAAGGTGCCTATGTGCATGGATTATTTATTGAAGGTGCTAGATGGGATACAAGTGCTAATTCAATTGTTGATGCTAGAATCAAAGAACTGGCACCAGCAATGCCTGTTATCCTGCTTAGAGCTGTACCATCGGATAGACAAGAAGGTCGAATAGCAGCTATGTATGCTTGTCCTGTGTATAAGACGAAGACAAGAGGACCAACATTTGTATGGACATTTCATTTACGTACAAAAGAGAAACCGGCTAAATGGATTATGGGTGGTGTTGCACTACTTTTACAAGTATAAAAGTAGTAGAATTAGTAGTGGTGGTGGTATGAAAGACGAAACAATGACTGCTCTGATTACTTCTAGAGAGAAACCATAATGTATTATTCACAAGAATAATCATAATAGAGTTTAGATTGTTCAATGAATATAGCTGAATTAATTGTATAATAAAATGTATTATCAAATTGTTTGTTATGTGTTGGGAATCCGACAGGTTTAGACCGAGAGCACTTAGGACAAAATCCAACATCTGGTTGCACGTTTCACATTTGTAAGCGTCTACTGGGCGATTGTCTTGAAATTCTAGTAGGAAATTGTAGTCGGCAGGGTAAATCATGTTAAAAAGGCATGAATACTCATTGGTTGTGTCGGTTGGTAGTAGCCCTATATCAACAACTGGGTTCGAGCCTCGGTGGGAAAATCATCAGTCACTGGAAAATACAGGTACATCCAGATGACTAGTCCCAAATAGGACGAAATGCGCGTTATCCTGGATTCCACTGCGAGTCACCATCCACCAATTAAATTCTAATTAAATACCCAGGCATCGTCAAAGCATCTACGAAAGAAGCCGATATGTCAAACTAAGACCGAGCACTTCGGTCTAATCAATCGACGGGAAAAGCAAAAATTCATTGAGACTGACAGATGTTGGAATTCACGGGTTACTGGAATCTGCCACAATGACTAAATGGTCAGAGGACTGCCTCACACCTATCTATAGGTCAGTCCAGTGCCGTTTTGGGTTCCAACGGTTATATAACTGATGTCTTTTTATGACATACATAGATCATAAATGGGGTAAATTTGACTGATAATGTGAAAACAAATTGAACTAGAAAATCCCCTTTCAGACATTTAGAAGACAAAAGAAAGTTCCAGAAAAGAAGATGCTTTTTGACAACTATATATATATATATATATATATATATATATATATATATATATATATATATATATATATATATATATATATATATTATACACAGTAACAATAGAATTACAATTCATGAAAAATGTTTAAATTATAATAAGCATAGAAAAATGTAATACCAAATAGAATATCAAATAAGAATAAGGGTAGTTAGAACCTGAATGGCCAAGGTAAGAAAAAAGCGTCTGAACCAACTTCTTCTGGCCGGGTTAAACTTTAAGCACCACGAACTACCAATGGAGTGCCACCGCACCAGTGAACTTGAAACGTTTGTTGCGTGCGTTGTCTGACTAAACTGACGTACACATATATTCTACTACTTCTTCGCTTTTATCAATGTGCGCAGACGTTGTGGCTACTCGACGCCCACAACGTAAATCAAAAGGCACTTGCGAAGATTACGAATGTGTATTGTTGCAGTAGTCAAATTTTGAAATTGTGTCAAGGTAATGTTCAGCAGTAAAATGAAAAATGTTTGCGAAGTACATATAAAATCGGTCTGTATACACATATAATACAAGTGTACAAATTAGAATAAAAAGCATGTTTACAGTTGGTATAGGGGTACTACACGTTCACTGAGAATGTCAGTGAAACCCGGTATATAATGTTGTCATCATCAATAAAATACGCTCATCGAAGTGTTATGCTGTTAAATTGGATATCTGGCAATTTTCAGCCTAGGTTTGGGAAAGATTAAGTTACGCTTTAAGTCAGGGATAAGTTAGGGTTAGGTTAACCTAATAAAGGCGACATTAGGGTTGGTTCGAGTTAGGTTTTAAGTTCAGAAAAGATTAGGGTTATCGTTATTGTTAGAAGACTTGTGCGTTGTGGTAGAGCATAATTCCATTGCGGGTAACATTTTGTTTTGATTAAGTCTCAGGGTGTTATACAGTAATATTTCCTGATGACCACGTTTCAAGCACAATTTATTGCTTAGTAAATATTATTGTGTTACAATATGAGACTTCACCAAAATAAATTTTTACCCACAATGGAATTATACTCTGTTGATACCCCAACCTAAAACGGAGAGCTACATTTATCACATGTTAGAGAAAGGTATCCTCTGTAACACTTTTCTGCAGTTTTTATGCATTTATTTCATAAATATAGGTATTCTACACACAAAAGTGCCTCTTTCACGTGATTGATGCTTTCCAGGTCATTCACTGATTGGTAGTCAGTGGTACTTAAAGTTTAACTTTACCCTTTCTCTTTTTGGAAACATAAGATAGGCTCCTTCACCATATGGATTCTGACAGCTTTAGCAGCAGTTTGTGTAATAGACAAACTCTCGAGGTAAAATAAGGATTATTCGGTATACGGTAGATAGCTTCAACAGTCTTGTGTTTTGTATCCAAAGGAGTTGAGTTAGAATCGAACTATGAATGAACTTTATTTGTTGTACTTTGCTTAACCACGCTGGATAGTGTTCAGAAATACAACTGTTAACGTGCCTAATTTTACTTCCTGTGTAACTGGCTCCACAGAATCAGTCAAATTGATAAATACACTTAGAAGAGGCAAAACAGCTTAATTCAGCAGAATTTAATGCTCATTCCACCTCATTCCTTAAGCGTTATATTATTATTTCGCTAGTGTTATCATCGGGGGAAGTGAAGTTGTAAGAACAAGACATTTATCAGAACTGTTGTTAATGTGACTTACCTTGAGTTCCGAGTGGAATATAGGGCTTCAGCAGCAAATTTCAACTTTGTCCTATTCTCCGGCGTCCTCTTTAACAAGCCTAATGATTGCCCATTGTCTGTCATCTCTTCCTACTCACACAATCTCCTCAATGTCACATTCAGACTAAAGTTAAACTCATCGTTTCGCACTCTAGTTCCACTCGAGCTGTGGATGGTCTGGTGCGAGATGACATTCGACAGTCTTCTTCTTGCATTTTCTTCTACATGTTTGTGTAGAACAGGTTGTTAGTTGGTTAGCTCCCAGAGTTTCTTGTTATTCATTCTTTCTAGTAGGCCATCTGATCTCCAGTATGGAGTCGACGAACGCAACCCTTTGATGATACTGTATGATGCACTTGATAAAAGTAGTACTATTGGATCAGAGGATAACACAGCCTCCAGTGCTCACTTTCATACTTTTTGTTGTGTCTGTCCATTGCCAAGCCTTTGAGAAGATCCTTCAATACTCAGTGATATTCACAGTTTGCAAGCTTATGGTGTCACTAGTTAACCCAAGTACCTATATAACGAAAGAAGACAATGGCCAGGCAACAGATCGTTTATTTTTGAGAAAATCGACAAATATTTATAGATTTTTATGTACATTATTGCCAGAGGAGAGGTGACGTCTTCTGATTGGTTGTTTTCCTGCTGAAGATTATTCTGTCATCTGTTTATTGCCGTTTCTTATACACTCCGTTGATATATCTGCTAATGGTATCTGCCCACGCTAAGTTTACCGTGATTGGTTGTTGAGTTCCTTAAGGTTAGTCTTTGTTCTTGTTATTTCTCATGACCTCGATTTGGGACGTAAACATTGACGTGAATTGCTGTCTACCAATTTTGGTTAGCAGACAGCTGCCACCACATCTATTCAGAAATTTGATGGTTTAGAGTTGATCTGGCTATCTGAGCTGAGTCAAATCCCCCCCCCACACACACACCTCTGATGATCTTGACGACAAAAGAGTGAAATGGCCACTCGGTGTTGAGATCGTTTCCAGCTGACAAGTTAGCAAGTACACCTGGTTGATGTGAATCAATTATTTTTGAGAAAACACCAGGTAACTGAACTGTTTGTTTGTGACCAAATAGTGCTAGGGGAGAATAGGCAGTTGCAATATTCATTTCCTGATGATATTTCTAAACTCTAATGATCAATCTTATTTTGAGATATGCTCATGGACCAAGGTACATCGAACGGGATTTCTGTCCTGATCACCATCAAATAAGCAAATTTGAGTAAATTCAAGTTAAGAATAATTTACATTCAGATTGATAAAGTCATTCCAGCCAAAATGTGTCGTAAACAGTAGAAATCTGCATTTAAGTATGTAGCACGCCTGTCAGGGATAGTGAACATTGAAGCGTTTGTTTAGTCGAACTCGTCTCCATTTTGGTGGAGATTAGAAGTCCGTGGTTGCTTAATCGTATACTGGTTGGCAGAAAACTGCAGAAATACGATACGTTCATGTACAGACTTTGCACTTCGTAATAGTTGTAGGCAGTTCTGTTTCATTACTGTTGGAAGAATAAACAATCGTATTGCCCAACCGTTTTCTCTTGTTCCCCATTGGTTACCGTGTATAGTATTCAGAGTAGTTGTCCTAGTCTTCTGAAATCAGCGATAGGTCCAGGATCTCTGTAATCTGAATATCTGACAATCTCTTTACGCGTCACAAAACCAGCTGTGATTCCGAAACCTAGGTGCCTAGGTTACCTAGACTAGCCACCTTAAATTGCAACCGTGATTTTAACTGCTCCCATGGAGCCAGATATACTGACCGTTGTTCCAGGAACCTACGTTTTCGTGCTGAGGAATACTTACCGGTGTTTAAATAAGAGTGTTTGTCAATGGACGCGAACACTGAACGTTTGTTTATTGGAACTGGTAGTCATTGGCGGGCAACTCGAAGGAGCGAATGGTTCAATCGTGTACAAGTTGGAAGAAGACGAAAGAACACGAATAAAAGTACAATACATTATTTGTAAAACATTTGTTTATAGTCTCTGTATGACAGATCGAATTCAACCGCTGAAGAATATATTTTCTTATTACAAGTCCTTGTGTTTTGGAGTTAAAGTCGATAATTTTACTAAGTAGTTGTCGATTCTGAGCGTCTTCACAAATAACAGGAACTTAGGGTTAAGTTCCTTGACAGTGTTGTTAAAATCCCCAAGAATGCTATGCTGGGTAACTTTGTTCAAACAGGTCATAAAGCTACCTGTTGAAGAGTTTTTCCTTATCGTCTACCGGATATTGAATAAATTAACAAAAGCCTCTACATACCGAAAACTCCAAATATGAGAGGCCATTACAATTCGCTTAAAACATCCGGAGTTCTGTGTGCAAAAGAAAGAAGGCCAGCCAGTTACTATTGCTAACCTATGAA